GTTTCCATTTGTGAACCCTTTTAAAAAGTAATACCATCAAAGGGCGTGTAAAATGGATAATTTTTACAACTTTTTGCAAAATTGTCATAGAATAATAATTTATTGTACCGTACACTAAAAAATCAATTGCTATTTAGGCTTGTTCAGTAGGCTGCTTTTACACATAACGGGATGTTGTTCTTAACACTTTTATAATTCGTAGTTGCTTCAAGTAGTCCTTCCTACAATGTAATTTTCCATAAACATCTTGATGGATAATTATTTAATGAAGATATCGCAAATTAGAACATTAATATGTTCCGTGCAACACCATTGTTATATTCGTAGAGAATATGAAAAATAGTCTAACCTCCTATCATCATACAGTACAATAACTATTTTCCAAACTGTATCTTTCAGTTTTTGGTTTTAAATCGAACGTGGTCTAAAAATGAACGGATTTAAAATGATATGTGGTTGTAAGATATTTTGATGGGTTTTCTCAACAATGTTATTTAATCGTCGTTAAAGACTGTTGTTAGAAACAAGCTGATGACAAAGATGCAATAAATTTTTCAAAATCCGCACCCCTAAAGAGTAAACAATGGTACAATTTTGATTTTATAAAGTGTTAAACCTTATCCTAAACATATTTAGAACAAGGGAAGTTTGCACAATGTTAATGGCCGATGTTAGGTGCATCTAAGTGCAGTAGATGATAGTCGTTATTTTATAACGATAATTAGATGTCTAACGATGCATTTTATACATACAACTATCAGTAAACACAATCGAGAATGTGATAACTTGTTTTCTCATGGTAAATATCTCAATATTTTGCATGTCATTTTGTCAATACGTTCTTATAAGGAATCTAAGACATTTAACAAAGTTTTAGTAAAATGATATGAGACATGTTTATCTATATGAAATGGAATGAAAACGAAACGATCATTTTACGCCAGATTATTTATAGCTAAAGTAGTCATGAAATGTTTTAAATTAATTTTACTGTTCAACACTTATAAGTACAATGATGACTATTATTTGAGGTTTCCCAGCATGAAAAGACATAATGACGACAAAATAACCATTTCTAATGTTAAATGCACATTAAACAAATTCAAACAGTTGTGAGTTAGATATTGTATCATATTCTGCTTCTTAAACTGCAGTAAACCTCTGGTTTCTCTCCAATCAACTCTGCCATACGCAAATTAAAGTTGACAAAATAATGCTCAGTAAAATATCGAGAAATGTTAAGTTCGCAATTTGTAAGTGTGGATTCAATCTTTTTCAGATGAACATAGCATCCGTGGTGAGCTGTCTAGAAACAAAACAAATCGATCTCTCAGCTGACAAAAACCCCTATAAACCTATCTTGATGAAGTCGTAATATATTTGTAGAAAGATGACTTTGGGTTTAACGACGGTTGGAATTATTGCTGGGTTTAGAAAGTAGATTACCAAGTCCAGACCATAACCATAACCCGAGATCCTAAAACCGAATGGGTTAAAATATAAAGAAGTCGGACATTAAACAGATATAAAACAGAGTGCGATCGTTAGGGTTTAATAATGTAAAAAGTGACCGTTCGAATCCAAACACTCCTTTGTACTTGGTTCTAGTGCGTGTGAATGACGGTCGAGCTCTGTCTATTCTATTATAACCTAACATTTCATTACATCTACACCTATGTCAGGAGCTTTGTATGTATGCTACTATGGTATAACTAGCAGAGTACCCGTCCTTCGTACGGGGTTGGCATATAAGTATAAAACGCTTATTGCAGTTATACTCAAGCTTTGGGTTTGCAATAGGGGGACACAGTTTGATAAAATTTTATTTCTTTGGTATAATGTTCTACTACTTCAACTAAACAACTAACTGGAAACAGTCCGAATTTGACAGTTCTCATTGCGTATCACAGTTTTTTGTTGCTGCTTAGTTCAAACTAACTGTTTTCATAAATGCAAAAAATCATAGTACTGCACCCTGTTGGTTGTAAATCTTATAACTTTTCAATGCTTTTGCATATCATAGAACCAGATTTTTTTAGTTGAAACAGCTGACTAAATTCTTTAACTCCCTTTAAATAACATCGGAACTACAGAGAGCCACTGGGGCGGAATCAGGAAGGATTTTTGAGATAAGAAAATGCCTATATGTTAATCGGGATTGTGAGCTATCAGCATGCCAAATTTCAGCCCAATCCGTCCAGTAATGCGTGATTGACTTCAAACCAACACAAAAGCTTTCACATTTATAATAATATAGTTAAAGATAGTAAGATAATCCATTTTTATTCCAAACCCTTTATACTTTGTATAATGCAAAGATGTCTTCTCACATACTTGTAAAACCAGAAGCTGACGTAGGTATGTTTTTCATGCCCGGTAATATTTGGGTTCATTGATTTCTTATTTGGGGCAAATACACAGCCTGCTTTTTTCTCCTAGAGACAACAAGCAGACATAAATTATATTGAGTGTGTTGTACATTTAATTTCACTAAAAGGTTGCTGTTTAGTAAAACTTACTGGTTATTTTCGAGTAAATGTACACTGTACATATGAAATTCATTATTTGGTAATAATAACAGAACACAAACAATAATTTCAATTGATTTCGTTTCATCACCATTGAATTTTGAAAGTTACATTTTTTAAATTACCAAAACCAAAAGGTATTGAGAAGACATTGACACAATTAAGTGTTATCAGACACTAGCTGTTTTCCCACGGGCTTCACCCCGTTTGACTTCGTATTGATAAAATTATTGATTGGTTAAGTTAAGCTGAAATAAACAAAACAGAATACAGTAATACAAACAAATAATCACACCTGTTTTAATAAGGTGATAAATTGAAAGAAAAACATACAAATAAGTACAGCTGAGGTATTTTTAAGATTAGGTATATGGAAAGTTCCCTTTAGAAAGGAGTTATGACCTTAAAGGGCAAGTATATGGTTTATGGGGGTTGGGATTTATATTTGGATTCAAGTAGCTATCCATATTAAATCCACATGTATCAAACTATTTCCACACAAATCTAAACAAAAAATAAAGATAAACAAAAATTGTTATTCTTAAGTGAGTAGGTTTAATATATGGTTACTGTTATCAACATGTGGTGTTCCATTTATTTTAACTGATAAAACAATACAGTATTCATGAGTCGATACATGCATTATTGTATTGATATATAAATATATATAGGCCATCCTCCAGTGTTACTGGAATTTAACTCTTCTCAGAACTTATAGACTATTTTTATAATTTACAATCAGTATCGGATGCATTGCACTCACTGTGTTGTCTTTTTGTTATATAAATAACATATTTAGTACAGTACTGTAATAATTCCGAGTTTTTATTTGATTTGTATTTTATGTAATTATGGTGGAATAAATCATTATTTCATATCGATGTGTTTTGATGTAAAGTAATTTGCAATTACATTTAAGCTTTTTGGAACCAATAAAATAACTTCAAAATAATTTTATTTTACTACTTTACTTTCTGGTTATATTGTTCTAAATTAATGAATATTAATAATTAAGAAATCAATTCAATTAAAAATTGCAATCATGAGCGGTAAGAAATCTCCAAATTTGACCATTGTAAAAAATAAATAAAAAACCATTTTTATCTAATGCAGCATATATATCGGCTAGCATAATTTCACGTCCGATAATTATCTATGATAAAACTGTGTTTTTATTGAGGACACAGCTACCTGAAGTTAGACGGGAGAACAAGAAACGTTATATATTGTTTATTAACTTGCTCAGAGGTGATCATAATAAACTCGACTATGGGGTTAACAATCAAGTCTGTAAAACTCCGGTTTAGTTTAATGAGAAGGTTCTACAGTGAAATTCTTCTTAGTGTTGGATTGAGTAAATCCTTTGTTATTTTATATATGACCTATACACATATTGTTTGTTGGACAATATGTGGACTTCCATATTGTTTATTATTTGTTATTTTACAGAGCAGTAACAATAGTCCTATTAAATTGCGTAACCGAATGTATAAAAAAACTGATAACTTGGTTGTTTGTCATCCGATTTTAACAAACACGGTATCATTTGATTTGGATTTAAATTCTCTATCTTTTTGATATGAAAAACAATTTTCTCAATATTTACGGTTTTCATGAAATTTTGCATTAATGATTTTAAATGGCCACCATATTGCTTGAAATATTGGAACGAAACTTTATAAGCTCTTTTTACCTACTAAAATGCACATTTATACAAATTTTGGAATTTCTATCTTGAAATGTTCAAGATATAATTCTAAAAAATCATAAACAGACCGACAAACAGAAATCTAGGCATTTTAGACCCATACCTATATGGCATTTTATGTTTGTCTTAGCCCAAAGAACAAGTTCACCAAATATGTCCAGAGAATTTGGAAACACCCTTTGTATACATTACATTTTCAACTACATTAGTATAAAACTTCCCAAAGGTGGCAAGTTTACTTAAAATCTACCGAACTTAAATCAATCTAGGGTAATTATCTGTACATCTTCAAAATAATGTACAAACTATAATATGTATGTTTGAAATTTTATTGAAGAAAATAAATAACATCATCCACCACAATACTGGTAACTTCACAAACGTGAAAAATTTACTTGAAATTCATCGTACCCAAATTACTTGATGGTAACCTCTTATTCATCTCTTAACGTACGTATAATATGTTATGTATCTGTGTACCATTACTAGGAAATAAATTGAAATTTGAAACATCACTTTTTAACTTCCCAGAGGTGACAACTCCACTTACTCCCAGTACCAAAATCGCCCAATTTCCTATCCTTAGCCGCGTAGTCGGACATTGGCGGGATTAAGCCCCTCCTTCAGGTTCTTTCGGATTAATAAAAATAAACGGGTGCCGCCCCCGGTGTTAATATTATCATCCGCCCCCTGGTGTCGGCGAGCAGGCGCGGCCCGCCCCGCGGACAAGTTAAAATTTGAAAAACTGCAGGGGTGGGCCCGGGTGCGCGCGGTATATACAGTGTCGGCGCGTCTCTACTACTCGCTAGATAGGTTCAGTCGCTTGCTAGCCGTCGTGGGGTGAACATCGCGTCGTGCGCCCCGTCACTCACGTGCCACACGCAGTATGTGCCGCGACCAAACTGACTCTCATTGATCAACATGGACTTTCAAAGTGCGATGGAGACTTTTGCTGAAGCCTGGGTTGCCGCGAATACCAAGACTGCTGAAAATGGACCTCAGGTTAGTTTGTTGACGTTTTTGTCTTAAATTTAATTAGGGGTTGATTTAATTTGTAGTGATATTTTTAAGTGGTTTTGAAGATTTGTTTGTATTTGTAAATTAGTGTCAAATAATTTGAAATATTTAACATTAGAAAATAAATTACCGCGGCTGTTAAACATTTACACTTATGTCTTAAGTTCAGACTTGTATAGTTGTTGTCATTAGGCCTACTTTATTTTAAATCAATAATTTTAAAGTATATTACCTTAAAAGATTGTTGACAGTATAGTTTAAATGTTGGAATTAATTTAAACTATAGAATATTTACTCAAGGTCTTCATTATAGAAAATATTCCATAGATGCAGCATATTTTTACCTATAACAAAGTTAATAACTATTTTAAACACAGTTTTTCTTTACTATGAATTTAAAATTTAGCTTGATTAAGAAGTTAGTTATAAACATAAATACTTTTATAGGAATTTAATTATAAACAGATTATTGTTGATGTGTAGACATAAGCCACCCTTTAACAGCTTTGTAAGAAACTTAATTGTTTGAAACATGCTTTGGAATGATTTATAAGTAATCAGGTAAACATATTGACCCGAATATTAACTAATTTTATAATTTAAAGTACTAACAAACACAATCCGCTTTGTATTAGTTCGTATTTTTCTAGTATTCGTAGTTTCTATAATCTTTGTTTATCCATCATATGCAAACTCAAGTCTTTATCTCCAAGCTTTCTGCAAGCGACGTTTTGACAAGATTACCTCTTTCCCTCTTTCTTCGTATGTTACTTAATCAGGGATGGATTTTGTTGTCACGAAATAGACACAATATTTTTACAAGCACAAAATAAAAACACTAGCAGGTACGAAAACGGGCCAAAAGATAAGATGTAGAGAATTGCGGGTTCTCGCTTTTCTTAGGGGCTGAGTTTGCATTTCATTCCAGAATTGCCATTGTATGACTTAAAACATTTCAACTAAATAATTGCATTGTTTTGAATTTTAACTGCGTGTTATTTTAACAAGGAAGTGAATTGAAGTAATTCCTATATTCCAAAGTGTACTACATACCTATATTTAATAGAGGCGCTTTTAACCACAATCATATAGGATTGCGATTATTGTTAATATTTGGCTGGGTTTTTATTAAAAAATGTGGTGAGTTTGTCAAACATTACATTAACTCTTTCGGTACATCCGCAGAAAAACACCGCCAACTTATCATCAGCACTTAGGACGGTCTATGAGAAGTAGTGTATTGACCATATTGCATTATTTTAGTGTGACATCACTATTCGGTGCGAAACAGTTTTGGATACTGAAAAATATAATTTTGCAAATCTTTTTGAGAAATAAAATTAGCCATGATTATATAAATAAGCTTTCATCATATAAATTTAAAACTAAGTAACTACCATGAGTGAACTACATGACTAATTTGATTAAACGATCATTTTCGATTAAAACCGTATGAATTTTCCATTGATATAATGTTTCTGCGAGTTTTGGTTGTGAGCAACGTGAAGAGACTCTTTTTTAAAAAGTGTTGACAAATATCAGTAAAAGATAATGTGGAGGACTACGTAGTGCTATCATAATCAATTGATCAGATTACTGTTGTTTGAAGAAGACAGATATGATAGATTCATACTCATCCAGGAGATAATGTTCTAATTGTTCTAATTACAGCCAACTTGATTTCACCGCTAAAAGTTCTAAAACAATGCTACAATTTCATATCATTCACTGAACAAATCGAACTATTCCAAACAAAATTTAGATGCATTAAATTAATTTTATCTGCGCGTTAAATACTTTACAATATTTAACTAAACTAATCAAACAATTTTGAATATTTTTCATTACTTATCAACTTACAGTTTATGAGTTAATATAGAAATATTACAATTTTCCATAATATCAACCAAGACACTTTATTTTCCTCTATTTGCCAACTAGTTACACTATTTCCCTCAGGATCAATCATTAATTAACCTAAGTAATTAATTAACTTGTAATGGAGTAATTTAAAACCGTTCACATACTAGCAGGTCATATGTTAATTTCTTAACTTACTTCATGCGTCGTCGTCGGTCTAATATCTAATTTAAATGCATACAGAAGTCGCATAATTGTATGCAGTGTGTTTACATTGTTAATTATTAATTCTCGGACGCATTGTAATTGGTTGGTAATTACAATTAACGCAGACATTTTGTCGCTCGTTATCGGCTCATAAAGTTGATGGTTTGCAAATAATCGCGTTCGCGTAGCTACGCAGATGTGTACACTAGTTGGTGGTATGTGGCATACCCTTGGACGTGGTATGGAGTGTAAAACAATTACAGTCGTCCATGAATTGTGTGCATTGAGATTGTAAGCTGTAATTTGAAGTAGATACGGGTAAAATCTATTAACATAAATCTGGAGTAAAACGCTCAATGAACCTGCGCGATAATAGATTTAATTTAACTTCTTTACCTAAAAGACTAAGCTGATTAATCCTAAAGTACTTATTTTAAACGTCAACTTAAAGCTTCATAACATGATTGAAAATAGTATTTTGAAGTTTACTTAGTACGGTATTTCATAAAAAAGAGGTTCGAATTATCTCGTGCTTATTTTACAATAAATAAATTACTAATTATATGTTTTTTTCAAATATGTTTTGGAATATATGACACTATTGAGGCCCCTTGGTAAGTTTCAAATTACAGATAAGATAAGTCTCTCACAGCGAAGAAGCGTTGACCTAACATAATAGGCATACTCAACCCAATAAATATATAGCTACATAGTATTTGCATTTCTAAAACACATTTGTACCCTAGTAAAGACAAAGGTGTCAAAGTCAAGTATTCAAAATACAGTACCAGGAACACAACAAAACGTTTGGAATAAAGAGGTCAGCCCGAATTCCCAAATACCGAGCCTTTCTGATTATCCAGTCCGGGAAGGCCCTAATCTCGGACCCCGGCGGGGCCGCATGCTTCCGTGAATTTTGACTCTACAGAAGATATATGGTCCTAAGCTGTCGTAGGCTGGAGACAAAAGTATGTAAATATTGTTGGCTGAAGGTTGAAATTCCGCCGACCTCTTGCAGAGTCGTACCGTTGTATTTGTCTACTTTGCACCACCCTTTGTGTTGTCCCGTTTACAATCGACAGGTAGACGTTGGTCCCTTGTACGATTACAGTTAGGTATTGTTTTTGCTGCAATGTTTCGGTAAATATACAAGGTTTTATGACAATCCACTCTTCAGGCAGGCGAGATGATGGGTTGTCGCATATATTTAATTCTAGTTTAGTAGGAGGTTTATATGGGTAAACTGTTATCTAATCTTGTAAGGATCTAAAGTGTTAATCGACGGCACTTTTAATGTTAAAATAATACTTGTCTCTCAACATGCATTTGAATTTGGCAAAGCTTCCGAATCTGTTATAACAACCTAAAAATGCGATGGAAATAAAAAATATTAGGAACGATCAAGCGAGGGATTCATTCGACTCCGAGGAGTCTTTTTTCAATTCCACCGAGTTTAATTTAATAGTTTTTTTACTAGTTAGATGTAACAAACTAACTTCTTTATTGAGGAGGGATTTGTGAAATGGTGTAACATATCGTCAAAGTCCATTATTTTATACGCATTTTAGTCATTTAGTGAATAATATCTTTGAACAATAGTTAGTTGAAATACATTCATTTAGATGTACAACAATTTAATATGAATTTAATTGCAACTGAATTTTTCCTTATTTGAAATCAAACAATGAACCAGCCGTATAAATGTAGTGGTTTGAAAAGAATGTGTAAAAGAAGCATCCGAAGGGCTAATTTTGCGATTTCGGGCCCCGGGGTTGGGCTTGCCGGCGTCAGAAGTCCTGGCCCCGGGGGCACGAGCCCCAAATTGTTTCTTTACCTGGGTTTTGGGGCCGCCCGCTGCTCCAAATCTCCCCAACTGATCATCTGGGGCCGGAGTTAATATGGGATAATCAGCTTTGAGCCCGAGTGGACCCGAGACCGCGCCCGACCGGCGTCGCTAGGACCTGGGAACTGCTTTCGGGATTTTTTACCTTCCTTGCCGACAGATCAAACAAATTAATAGGTTACGCGTTTAATTTACCTTTTGGTTTCTTCCTAGAACTGGGATGAAAACTGTCTCGGATTATAGCGGGTGCGTTTTGTATTTTTAATATACAACGTACAATTTCTGTATTATGTATGCGTTTACACACCACTCATCGTCATTTGCCATAACAAATGGTATTCGCTTACTTTTTAAAATCAGTGGGAAATTTTCAATTACAAGTTCGGTTTTATAAAATAATATTCTTACGATTCCCACTGCCTATATATTATTTTGAAACAACTACAAATTCCACTTAGTAAAATTTTCCAAGCCTTTATATTGTACTTGTAATTTAATCATAAATAAAACTCGGTTTTTGTAGACGCCTTTTTTAGCCAAGTATAGTTTTTTACATTGTTCCTTCTTTACACGGCTGCCAGATTTTTAACATGCAGCTAAATCAAAGTTATATGAGCAAAGTCGGCTTATTAGGTATTTTAAAGAGTCCAGCACAGCAATGAGGGGCGGAAAAGGAGATAAATATTAACAGGTATTTGATAAAGAGAAGATGTTATTGTTATTGAGCCATGACAAATAAACTTGACTCGGATTGTAAAAATAAAGATTCCAAAAAAATTTTAAATTTATAATTTGTTAATAAAAAATATCACTCAATACTACGGGTTTGTGTATCATTTAATATAGAGATGAATTTATGTTTGCGCACAAATATAATATTTATTGTAGTCTAGTTTATAACTACTATTTTTTAAGTTTTTGAACCCTTAATGGTATTTTTGTAAAACCCTCTAACTCTAAACAAACTAATGGTCATCTACAACTCTTTAATCTGTGCTACAACCTTTAAATCCAACTGGTAAATTCCTCCTCAGTAGTCAGGGCCAGTGGTGGGGAGGGCGATTGTGGAGGCATC